AATTTCAACCTGCTAGTTGACGTCAAAAATAAAAAGCTGATTGATAACAACACCCAACTACAGATCCACGGAATTATCTCCAACTATTCTGTCTACAATATCAGTATCGAAAGACCAGCGGATTGCACTTTTTCCGCCCTGCTTCATCGTTTCCCTAAAATTCTTAAGCCGTCGTACAACGTCGAGGACGTCCCTCATACAGTGACTCACAAGATAGTTACTACGGGTCAACCAGTTCGTGCTCGCCCTCGTAGATTACCCCCGGAAAAATTAGCAGCAGCCAAGGCAGAGTTTGAACACATGATGCAGCTCGGCATCATCAGACCCTCCAATAGCCCTTGGTCTTCGCCCTAACACATGGTGCCTAAGGCTGATCATGATTGGAGGCCGTGTGGGGATTATCGACACTTAAACAATGCCACCGTTCCCGACCGTTATCCTATTCCTCATCTTCATGATTTCTCCCTGACACTACACGGAAAAACCATATTTTCTAAAGTAGACTTGGTCAGGGCCTATCACCAAATACCAGTTGCCCAAGAAGATATCGAAAAAACGGCCATCATCACACCTTTCGGCCTGTTCGAATTTCTCCGAATGCCATTTGGCCTAAAGAACGCAGCACAATCCTTCCAACGGTTCATGGATCAGGTCACACAAGGTTTGGACTTTGTATTTGTATATATCGATGACGTTTTAATTGCCAGCTCGTCGCCCGAAGAACATACTGATCACCTCACCATCTTATTTCAATGATTTGAGCAATATGGAGTAGTCATTAACCCCCAAAAGTGCATATTCGGTGTCCCCTCTATACAGTTTCTGGGACACCACATAACTGCGAATGGTATTACGCCTACGGAGGAAAAGGTAGAGTCCATCAAAAACTTCCCCTTACCAGATTCACTTGAGAAGGTCAGACGTTTTTTGGGGATGTTTAATTTCTATCGGCGTTTCATTCCTTCGTGTGCCTCCATCTTCCAGCCGTTAACAGACCTCCTTAAAAATGATCCTAAAAAGTTTCAGTGGTCAGCTGAAGCCCATGAATCTTTTTGCAACGCAAAAGACGCCTTATCCAAAGTCACTATGCTATCTCATATCAACCCCGAAGCATCGCTTATTTTGTGCACAGATGCCTCCCAAGTAGCTGCAGGGGCAGTATTACAACAAAAGATGAAAGGTGAAGTCACCCCACTCGCATTCTTTTCTAAGAAGCTGGAACCGGCTCAGACACGTTATAGCACTTTTGGGAGAGAATTGTTGGCCATATATCTTGCAGTGAAGCATTTCAGTTACTTACAACAGGGCCAGCACTTCACTATTTTTACTGACCACAAGCTCCTGTGTTATGCTTTCACTACTTCACTCGATAAACACTCCCCTAGAGAAGCCAGACAGTTGGATTATATCTCCCAATTTTCAACCGACATCCAGTACATCAAAGGGGATGCGATCGTGGTAGCCGATTCTCTTTCAAGAAGTGAAATAAACCAGCTTCAAACCGCGGTAGACATCAGTCTGGATCGCATGGCTCAATTACAGAGAGATGACGTTGAACTCCAAACCTGCCGCAGAAACTATTCCTTACAGCTCAAAGAGGTGCCTATCCCCTTATCAGATGCAACCATAGTCTACGATGTATCTACCGGCACTAACCGTCCATTTGTCCCTCTCAGTTGCCGAAAAGCATTGTTCGACCATTTACATTCTCTTTCTCACCCTGGAGTACGCGCCACAATCAGACTCATCAGCGAACGCTTCATGTGGCCTAAAATGAACTCTGACATTCGGAGATGGGCACGCGAATGTCTCCAATGCCAATGCTCCAAAGTACACCGTCACACTATTACGACCCCGAAGCCGTTTGAATTACCCGAAAGGAGATTTCAGCATATCCATATAGATATCGTGGGACCATTGCCAACATCAAGAGGATATACACATATCCTGACAGCGATTGATAGATTTACTTATTGGGCTATTGCATGCCCCTTAAACGACATATCTGCTGAAAACGTTGCTTTGGTTTTTCTCGACCGTTGGGTGTCAAACTACGGTGTGCCAACTACTATTACATCCGACCGCGGTCCTCAATTCCAATCGACACTCTTTCGCGAACTGACGAGACTCCTAGGAGTGAAACATATCTCCACGGCAGCCTATCATCCGGCAGCGAATGGTCTAGTGGAAAGATTCCACAGACATTTGAAAAGCTCCCTGATGGCGCAAAATGATACATCTAAGTGGAGTGAATATTTACCTTTAATTTTACTTGGTATCCGATCTACTATCAAAGAAGATTTAGGATGTACACCGGCTCAACTTGTTTATGGCACCAACCTAACCTTGCCTGGACAGCTAGTCCCCTCAGCCGATTCCACAGACGTGAACATTACCGACTTCCCCAACCGATTAACTAGACAAATGCTTCAGCTTCAACCAACAGCACCTCGACAATCTCCCCGATGAGATCAGATCAACAAACATCTACAAACTTGCAAATTCGTGTTTGTTCGAGTCGACACCGTCAGAAAAGGATTACAACCTCCATACGAAGGACCATTTCAAGTTATTAAACGTTCAGAAAAACACTTTACGGTGAACAAGAATGGAAAACGAGAGACTGTTTCTATCGATCGCATCAAACCCGCATACACAGACAACGATTTTGAGGCTACATCGGCAACTGCACAATCAAATAATCAAACATCACATTCCATTCCACCGGCACCAAGTCTTATCATCCCTCCATATCAAACACGTAGTGGTCGGCAAATCAGTAAACCGGCTCGCTACGTTCATTTTGAGGACTAATAAAAAAAATATTAACAATTATTATTATCTTTTTCGTTTAGATATTATTATCATGACCGTTAGTATTTCGTTGTAAACTTTGATGTAACTATCACTATTATTTACTTATGTGTACCTCACCTATAAAACAGGCATTGTCCTTTTCAGAAACTATTGATCTTTAATCCATTTTTTTAAAATATCTTTTTTCCCTCCTTAGTTACTGTGTATTTACATATTTTATTTTTTTCGTTATACATTGAAAATCTATGCTCATAGTTAGTGCAAATTTAAAAGACATGACTTTCTGTTTTAATATTTTTATTGCTGAACTAATTGTAAATGTTTTCAGACTTTACATGACTCACATAACTTCTTGCGTTTATGCATGTTGTAATATATCCGCATTTTTATCCAAAAATTGTTATTACTATTATTATTTACTTCACAGCTTTACTTAACATTTTCCGATGGTCTCTCCGGACCTCTAGGGGGGGAAACCTGTGGAGTGCGTATCAATGTGATTGTACACTTTTTGGTTATTTGTAGAAATTAGACATATTGTACATAATTTTTGTTTAAAACGCTTCTTGTTTAAATACACTTGGTTTCCGTGTACGATTGAAAAATACACTCTGCTGTTGGAGACTTCATCTTCTCCTTGGTTTCTTCGGCTTACTAGCTCAGCTCTCACCGTGTTGTATCTTTCGGATTCATTGTTGAAGTCCACTATGCTCAACCGAAGACAATTCTACAACCGGGACACAGCAGCTACAACCTACTCCGTCCAAACAATTAACGTCTCCGTGGGTTATATAAATAATTTGTAGCAGAAGACTTAAACTTTATTTGCAAGTAACTTTTTTGTTGTTATAACGTGTCGTTGCATTATTGGTAATATACTGTTACTTAACATTCCATTGACTTGAACTTTATTTCTCATATTTTGTAATACTAGTGAACTCTAAAATAAGTCCCCTAAAGATTGACTCCAACCATCTAATATATCATGAAATGCCAGAGATTGATGGTGATTAGTCATAATAGATTCATACACTATAAGGAAGATAAACTGACAACTCAGTTCAAGGTTCTAAAGCGCTTTCAGTGAGTGACTGTACAGAATAGCGTGCATTAGACAGGAGATTGTAAAACTACGATGAATAGTTCATTATGAAATAAACAGTATGTGGAATGAAACAGGCAGAGTCATATACTGAGATAAGTGTTAGAAGAATGCTGTTACAACGAAGAGAAAAGGAAATGAAGAAACCAAGAGTAAAAGAAGCAAAAAAATAAGTGAAAAGACACCCTTGTAGGAGAGAAGAACTTTTTATCTAACTTTGATCACGGTTGGAGCAGCGTTTGAGTTTATTCTTTACCAAATTAACTGGTACTGTAGTAAATCATGAAGAATATCAACTCTAGAAAGTACTGAAAGTAATCAGTGCATACTGTTTATACACACTAACTGACTTCTTGTGTTTCAACGTAGGATAGCACAAGAGTGAAACAGCTGAAGTTGCAACACTCCATGCAGCACAAAAAAGTAGAGAAAAAAGAGATTCAGTAGGACTATAATAAGCAGAAATATGCTAGAGAAAGAATAGTGACATGAAAAAAGAAACATGAAGGTCTAATGCATACGGAAGATGACAAAGACTGAATGTATCTGCGTCATTAGGAATTATTTTGAGCCATATTTCGAAAAGTCTTCAGCCACTAGTTCTTAGAATCTCAAGGATCTCAGCCAGGTAATCTATATCTTCCTGCATGACTGACACCAGCTGTCAAAGTCTTCATGAATTGATGCCAGGTGTTGATTTGACCGCTTCTAACTCTTCTCCAAGGTGATCACTTCAGTTAACATTGTTGTTTGAGGAAGGTGGTGGTTCAGTATGCATAACATGTGTCCTGGTCGTCTTAATCGATGTAGCTTCACAATCTCATCGGTTCACTTCCCTTCTTTTGCTGACACTCGACACCTAACCTCAATACTGGGTTGTATTTTTTTGTAATAGCAGTATTTTTATTTCACAATGACCGAATTTCAGGACTCAACCAAAAACACGAGAGGGATGAATTTAGGAATTTGTATTTGGCGGAATTATATTTCAAATCATATAATAAATATATTAACAAACAGCAGTAAATATTTAAACAATACAGAGATAGAAATTGTCAATCACCACAACTGTTAAACATACCATATCACTTAACAAACTAGAATTTCAAGTTTTCGTAGATGATTATAATCATTTTACACTAAACAGTGCCATTGAAATGTTCACAGTTCTGTTCAATACATTCACATATATTGTTTGTTACACACTCTATTGGTCAGATAATAGTGCAATTTGTAAGTGATACAAATTATACTCAAATAAATGAGTACATACAACAATCAGCAGAAATAATCATATAACAAATGAAAAAGTTCACGAAATTTTATACCTTTTGGCATTGTAGTCTTTCTTTAAAAAAATCCAGGGTAAATCACTGAGGTTTAACACAGAGTAGACTAGAATATTTCTTAGATAATAATAAGTGTGAATTACAAACTTTATTATATTACGTCGCGACTCAAACGATCACTTTTTCATGCTTTTACTACTTGTAGAAATGAGACAGAATGAAAAGAAAGAAAGTACTCGATGATAGAAAACATTGAAACTGTCAACTTGTTATGCATAGTCGAGTACGTGATATTTACAATTTCACACTTCAACAATCATAAATGATTAAGTCAATATTTGAATAAGTAAGGTGTTAACAGATTAAGCATTCTGTTGTCAGTTGACAGTTTGTCAGGTCAACTTTCAAGCAGAACATTTCAGTACGCGGGATATTATTAACAAGTGGTCACGTTCTCTTCAGTGTTATCTTTCCATTCTCATATATATATATCAGAGATTATTAAAGTCACATAGATTTCAGAATGACTAGACTGTTAGACTAGTCGTTCAGGTGGTTACTATGGTTTCAGATGAGGGTGAAAAGAAAAAAAACAATTGTATCTGTTATACATGACGCTATATATCTAACAAATTAGCCCACTAATAATACAGATTGGTAACTTATTCTATTCTTCTAATTTATTTGTATAGAATAGAATAGAAATATTAAGCAAAAGATAAGTGGTTTTAATCCATTCTTGGTAGCGATCCTTGAACAACAATGTCTGTGATACTACATAAAGAATCAGTATAAGATTGTGATGATGAACTACTACTGTTGAATATCTACAAGATAGAAGGCAATAAGTGTCTAGTGATTGTCGGTTATCACTGGCTCTCTTAGCCTGTGTTGATTAGATGTCAGATTGCATCCATCCAGGGTATACTTCATTTTTTATTTATTACTACATGTAAATACTCAGCTCTTTTTTGATTGTCTCAGTTGGTTAGGTTGAATTTTTCCCAATAAATATCTCAATATAGTCTTAAGTTTTGTTTTTATTTTATTGCTTTTGCGACGGCTAACAGTGTAATTCAGCAAGTACATTTGATATTTTGATTGCACACTAGTAACTAGTGTGATGTGTCTAGTCCTTTGTTTGGTGCAGACTGAATCCTATTAGTCAAGTTTGCAAAGTGGCTGGCAATTTTGGTGAGTCACCATCACGTTGATATTATATGGTTGGAGGCAATCTTTATTATACCTGAAACCTAGGTTTCGTGCTATTTGTTACTCACCAGTCAGTAAGGTGTATCTGAAGCCTTGAAGGAACTCATATTCGTTTTTAGATGCGAAGCTTCTTCACCCAGTGATGCAGTCTAATACTTTACAACAAATGAGTTATTCGGGCTGGCGATTGACCTCCCGTAGGACTATATTGCGTATTTTCATTGGACACTAGCAGCTAGTGTAACGTGTCTAGTCCTTTCTTTGCTTCCGATTGCCTTTAACTAGTTTTCAATATGGCTCATCATCTGATTACATTCATATTCTAGTGACAGTGCATTAATTTGTTCAAACACCAAGGTATTACCCATTGGTTTGGAAATGAAGTTCCATGTTTAAACCATATGTCTCAGCGTTTCACTACTGATGGTTTATTATACTTTATTTTATTTGAATAAGCTAAGCACTGATCAGTATGAGAATTAACTGTTTTATTTGATTAACTGTCGCAGTTGTTGTGAGTGCAACGGATCCATTAAAGTAGTTAACTTTCAGGAAATGTTTGCTCCTTCTCATTTCGCATTTAACCTTCTAGTGGATGGTAGGAGTGTATCTTTATTACTCAGAGTGATAAGTCTGTCATCGTTGCTTACTGAAATATTTATAGTTGTGAAATGTTACTTTATCCTCCTACTGAGTCTGACAGCTAATAAGGTCATGTAAAACGACCTACTAAAACCATCAAATATACCTCCGTTAGTATCATTTTTGTATCTTTATATTTGTATCTAGGTGAATTTGAATGCGTACATTACTGACCATTGCATATATATTTCCGTATTCTGTTATTTGGTTTGCTGTAAAATTTTACTCCAGTGAAGAAATTTTTGTTACATACTTTATCTCTGATATTTTTTACCATTCAGTAAAAGTTTTAAAGCAGAAAAATGTGTTAAGTGTAGACGGAGCATAACGGAAGACTTGTAGGATCACACAAGTGTAGAAACTTGAGCAAGTGAATACAAGACGGAAATAATTGTTAGAAAACACAGATAAGTATGTTTGATCTCCTAAATATTACCGATGAATTTATCCCTACATTAAAATAAAATTTCTACTCAAGAATACTTCATTACTTTAGATGTTCTGTGTAAAAAGAAAAGTTCCAAAATAATGTTACACTTCTGATAGCATGACACTAACTTTCAACTTAAGAATTAGTCGGTATATTTTATGGTTAAGCAGAGACTTATCTTTTTTCTTCCTGTAACCCTGATGTATGCAACGTCACTTTAAGATGTTGTATAGCATATATTTATCAGTTATCGTTACTTCTATATCTTACAGAGTTTTATATTCTTTTTCCAAAGTAAAGTAACTGATCAAATATTGTTAAACAATGAAGTATTTGAAGCGAATAATACAATATAATTTTATCCTGAGGAGTTTATGCTTAAGTCAGAAGTTATAAGCGTATGCAACATAAAAATGTCTAATAAACAAGAGTAGACTTTTGTTAAACTAAATGGATAGAACAGCTGAACAAATATGCATTGTTCTCTAAAGTCTCATTTGGACACAGCAACCTAAATACAAACTTATTTTTACATTTGAGATAATCATACATATACAGTTATTGAGATAATTCAGTGAGCATAACAGTAACAACAACAGCCCAAAGAGTTGCACAGTTTAACAAACGGTTTCAAGGACCGTGCCTATCTTTTGTGAACTGTGTTATAAAAGGGAAATCGGTTACTTTTAATTACAACTGAAATAACCAGTTTATTATTATTATTATTGTATCCTTTAATTCCTAGAGGAACATAGGGCTTCAGCCGTGCGTCTCCATTGAGTTCGGTTCTCTGCTAGAGTCTTCACCTGGCTCCAAGTCTGCCCACACGTTTTCATCTCCTCCTCACATGACCTCCTCCAAGTCACCCTCGAACTGACGACCAACTCCCTCTCGGGTTCCACTCAAGGGCTTGTCTAGTGATGTCACTTGATGGTTTCCTCAGAGTATGGCCAGCCAATCCATCTCCATTTCTTCCTGCCTATTTGTTTCACAATCGGTTCCTGCTGTGTTGGTTCGCTCCCAGAGATCCCTCCCTGTCGCTGATCTTTTCTGGCCATCTGATCTTGAGTATTGAGCGAAGACAACTGTTGGTGAATGTCTTTAGTTTGTTTGAGATGTTCTTTATGACGCTCAGTGCAAGTCTCTGATCCGTATAGTAGCACTGACTTCACATTGGAGTTGAAAATCTGGATCTTATTTCCATTTTCATGCTGAGTGCTGTTGATCTCCACACAGACTTGACGTGAGTAGTGAAAGCTTGTCTTGCTTTCCCGATTCTGGTTTTGATACCCTCGTCAGTTCCGTATGCCTGTAGTTGAAACGATGCTTCCCAGGTACGGTAGGTAAAAGAGGTTGTTTCTTTCAGGTTCCTCCCATTTATGCTGGCTGATTGTTGTCTGTTGTTGTTGTTGCTGTTGGTGGTGTTGCCCAGGAATCTTCATCACCTCTGTTTTCTCTATGTTCACCTGAAGTCTTATCTTTGCTGCTTCTTCTGCCAACTTGTTGCTTTTCGCTTGCATATCCTCCAGTTTGTGTGAAATCAGACATATATCATCGGCGAAGTCCAGTTTGATTATTACTTTTTCATTTCAAGCAGAGTGGGCTCATTGGAGAGCTACTGAAAAAACTCAGTGCTTACTGAAAATGTTTCCAACAGTCAAGATTCTATTACTATTGGAATGAGCAATTGGCTAACTTCCATTAAGTAGATATATGAAGCTCATCATCAAATCCATTCTCGCAAGAATCAGTCGTATATATACGGAAGACACATTGAACAGAGAAATGAAGTCTTTCTTTAACACTCTGATTTAGAGTAGTTATCCACCAGCTGTAATCAACAAACATACAAAATGTAACATGGATAATCCACAGAATTACCGAAGAAAAAGTTAGTTGTAAACCTGAAATTCAAAGGTGGCACAACAGACGAGATTATCGAGAACATTTCGGAAAACATTATTCACTGCAGCTTTACGTCCCATTATCTCCACTCAACCTCTTATTAATCAGCAAGTCAAAGACAATGTTCCACTGTTGACAGTATCCATGTATATACATCAGTTCACTGGCTCCTGAGGAGCTAAGTACATAGGCTGTAATACATGTTTTCAAGAACATTTTACAATTAAGCTGTCACGAGAAGAAACTTATTGAACAAATAGTTTAATTATGGAGCATCTTGTACTTACAAATCGTTTTGCATCAAAAGAAAAGTCTTTCAGGGAGATGTATAAAGTGGTAAGGCAAGGTTGGTCGAAGGGTTTCCGGGTACATCTTTTGCCTACAGCGGCAGGGCTTGCTATTCACAAAGAAAACCCTGAGCTCTGAAAAATTAATTCCCATGCTTCACATTCCTTCTCTAGTCACTTATGTTTATTTTACAGAAGAAATGCTCCATTTAGAATTGAGCATGAATGTAATTCTTTCCCAAAATATGCAATGAGAACTGAGGCATAAATTTAGGTCAAGGAAATGTCGTTTTCAAGAAAGATAGTTTAAGTGGTTTTG